GAGAATTAGCGACACGGGGATTGATTGTTGGGTCGCACGTAATCAACAGAATCATCTTGTGTGACAAACCTTCAGCTGTTTTCGTGCACCCAGACCATCATGTCGTGACGGCCAGAAGCAATTTTCAAAAGTCTGCAGAAGCATCAGTGCATGGCTTACCTGATGCCTTATACTAAGAAAAGAAAGGAACCGACGGAATGAAAATATTCGGAACAGTGCTGATACTGAAGAGGAAACCTTGAAAAAATTTGCAAACAGTTCAATGTATTCGCTAGCAAATACGTAAAAGATTCTTGTGTGCATAATTTACGTCCGATTCAAAATGGTTTTTAGCAGCAAACAAGCAATTTACGGAAAGAATACAGGATTTTTCTATGCCTACTCTTCATCTATTTATAGAAGTCATTCCGATCACTGGGGCTACTGCTGTACTACTGTAGACTGAAAAGAATCAGTGCAGCATACATCCAGTTTTCTTTGACTTCTTCGCCAAGTCATCTGAGGTCATTTTTTCTGGCGAGTGACAAAATAAGATTAGAAGCGTGAAACAGTGCTTCATCAGTACCTTGGAAATTATTTGCTGGTGCATTGAAAAACACGAAAAGAAAAACTAAAAGAGTGATTTTGTTTCGGTGGTGAAATACTCCAGATACAGATGCTGTGTAATCGTATCAACAGTCTTTGCAGAATCTGTTAAATAATCATTGCAAAGGAGGAAAAACCATGTGAATGAAAACTAGTACTGTCCCAGTGATGGGCAGCTTTATCATTGTGGGACAAACAGTGCAGATGAATAACGGGTTGAATTAAGCAAAATGAAAAAAGCCAGTGAATAGTTTCCACCAGATTAAAAGACATTTTTAGTGCTAACATGGTATCAGCTATGAAAGTGATCCTTTTAGCAGTTCTTTTGCATGAATGTGAAATATGATAAGTTAATAATTTTCAGTAAGTCATGGAATTACGCATGCTGGATGCCGGCTAAATGTAGAACATCTTCAGTGAAGTACTGCGGTTCCAGTCCGGCATGAGCAATGCGAACTAGCCAGTTTACGCCTAGTAAAAGGGCTAATCCGGACATGTGGCAATAAAGACAGCAGGTTAATGAACAGTGCCTGCTGCAGTGCAGATCGAACACATGAAAGGGGGCTGTGTGGTGGAGTGATCAACCTGAATGAGTAGCAGGAATCTTATGAATGAATTAGGCCCAAAGTAGGACGGGATGGAGGAATTAGCAGTTGCATCAAAACAGAGGGTACGACAGTGAAACATCAGCCGAAGTATCAATGCAAGGAATTCAC